TATATGTATGTATATTTATTCGACTTTGAATGGCGCGTTACTTACACATCAAATCATCAATATTAGGGATGTGCTTGGCGGGCTGTGTGCATGATTCACTTGAACAGATCTCGTTCGAGTTGTCATCATTAATATTAACATTAACATTATTGTTATTATTATGGTGCACTGTATTTTTGTTGTTGTGGCCGGATTTGTTTTTATTACTAACTCCGATGGCCGCACGCCACGAAGCGCGCCATGAATTTTTTTTGGTGGAGATCATTTGAGCCGTTGGCGGACTGGCCGTGGCAGCCAGCGAGGCGTGCGTAGTTGTTGCTGACGATGATGATTTTTTGTCGTTATGTAATTTGAATATTTTCAAGTTGAACGAATATTTTGAGTCGCGCGCGGGCACTTTCATTTTAAATGCGTCGCGTCTGTGTGTGTTTAATATCTTAACGAGTTTTTTGCACTGGGCATAGCATAACAGTCATTCAGTTAGTTATTCTCAAACATTAGCTGCTTTGTAAGTTTGTGTATTTACATTGTTGCCAGCCCGAAAGCCAGAAAGCCAGCCTCTCAAAAAGAAAAACAAAAACACAAAAACCAAAAACTGTTAGCTTTGATTTCGCCGTTTTGTTTTGAACAGGCAGCGCGCTCGCGTCGGGTATCCGTTTGACCGATCGCTAGCAGGCGTGAAACGTGTTTGAATGAAATTTCATTGTCACTTCGTTAAAAACGATGCCAATACGCTGATGCCGACCGTCCCAGCAGTGGCAGCGGCGGCAACAGCCGAGCTGGCGTCTACGTCACAAGCGCGCTTGCACAAAACATACATATGCACAATACATATGTATGTCTAGGCACGTCTGTATGTATGCAACTTTTACATACATACCTAAGTATATTAATGAGGAGACATCGTGTCAAGCGAAGCCCAACTTAAGCATTGCGAAAGCAAATTTCAAAAATAAAATCAAATTAACGATCACAGTTGAAGCAGCCAAATACCCTTGACATAAGCTCGAACTGAATGCACGACGGGCAACGGTCAATGGTCAAGTAAGATCAGTTTTGTATGCAATTTAACCAGATCAATTACAATGCAAATTGTTACTTCGAAGAAAACCATTAATTTACAATCATTGAACATTAAATCAAATGTACTTATTTCGTATGCCAGCAGAGCGCCAGAAAAGAGAGAGCAATAAAAAGGTGAAAAAGTGGCGCCCAAATCAAAAAAGAAGACTCAAAGTAAGCTTCGAGCTTGAGTACAATTACTGTACAATCATCGCTACGTACCCTCATTATATACATACATACACTATGTGATATATTGTACTTGTTAAAAAGTAGACAGAACAGAACAGAATTGCGAGTCGAAGTGATAATACTCTTTACTATCAAAATTTGTGCAATAAGACTGGCTTTACAGATAGATTTTTTAATTAATTAATTTACACTTACCTCTTCCCAGCTGGTGGCAAAAGATAATTTCATCATCCTGCATATTGAAAATAATACAGAAAGTCCGTTACTGTCTAGCGTAAAATACCGGCTATAGCCTTAATCCCAATACAATTTGAGCGGGACTGAAGACGTGTATCTGTCGTTGGCACCTGCAGCAGTTGTTGATTGTTTTGTTGGTGAGAGTGCGTGAGGAAATTGGAGTGTTAGCGAGCTGCGATGGTAATGCAACACCAGTTGCTGCTCACATTGGCTAAGATGGCTACTGGTTGTCGTTTTTGTAGCACGTTACGCTGCTTGAGTTGGCATTGGCATTGGAAACCGTATGACGAAAATATGTTTTCGCTTTGTTTACAAACTGTTTTTGCCGCCTGAAAGTTAAGTGCTGTTCCAGCTGTTTAGCCTATCATTTGAATTGATTAGTAATATCGTTTAATTCTTATTACTTAATTGCGCACTTTGGGATTAAAACTTTACAACAATTACGATAAAAATCTAAATCTAGTGGCCTTGCACACTGTCTTCTTCTTGGCCTAAAATCAGAACAGCTGTTTGCTTTGTTTTCTGGTCCAGACTAAAGATGAGTAACTAAGAAACTATCGATTGGTGATGTTGTCTGTGATTTTATTGACGCGCTTGTTATCGATATGAATGCACTTAAGAGGTTTTAATATCGATACAGTTTTAAGCATTTTTGCGAAATAGCCACGCAAAACTGCAAGCAAAACAAAAACAATATGAAGTAAACAAAACATCAGTGAAAAAAGTAACAAGTTGTTATTAAAATTATATTTTTGTACTTCATAAAATATATATTTTTCAATAATAAAATAAAACAAATGTAATTTGCTGTTGGCATATAAACTGCGCAGTTTGTTTATTTTTAGCCATGAGCAATACAAATGATATAATTTGCACGAATAATGAGTTCAAGGAGTTCAAGTTTCCACCTGTCTGGAGGGATAAATCCAAAATAAAGGTACTATTTGCTAGCTTTCATCCGCGCCACATCAACATTGAAGAATATGATGCAAAACTGCTGTTTTGGATGGATCTCATAAGACAATATTGTACGTATTTGGGAAAAGCAAATTTTTGTTTGCGTGAGCTCCAATTACAGTTCATGCGTGGCGAGCAAATACCAGCCTGCCTAGACGTAGTGATGTCTGAAATGGAGCAACAAAAACAGATTCGTCGACGCACTGAATACGAAGAGGACCCACTAAATACTTGGAGAGCCTGGATTGTCAACAGCTTCGTAAAGCGCCCGCTCTGGCGCAGCTGGGAAAAACTGAAATATAGCATTTTTTCAAGAGATGTCAAGGCAGAATCTTTTACTGAATGGATTCACTTAGATGTGTTAGGCGTAAGGAACTCTTATTTTTTTTTTTTAATTTGATATCATATTAAACAGTTCTTTTTTTTCAAACAGGCTATCTGCAGTGAAGTGGAGGAAAAGGTTCTAAGGAAACATCGTGGAAAACTGCTGCATTTGGAAGCTTTCAAGAAGCTTTGTAAAACATGTGAAGTTCGCATTCATGAAGAGTTCATCGACTTGTGTCTTCTTACGCTACAGGCACGCCAACAAGTGGCCATACAGTATAAAATGGAAAGGGAAAAATGTTACGTGCACCTTATAAAAATTCCAGGTAAAATATAAAATGAATCACGTTTGGGAAACTATTTTTAATCATTTCCATTACAGCTGATGAGAATGAAAGTCCGAACATAAGTGAGGCAGACCTGGCCATGCATAATCTGGAGATGACGCAGGCTAGTCTGCTGCAACAGCTGGAATCGTTGGAAGAAGAGATTAAAGCAAACGATGATAAAGCACGTCAATATGTGAAGGAAAACAAAAGGCAATTAGCGAAAACATACCTCAGGAAAAGGCGTTTGTTGGAAAAGAACCACGGTACAGCAATAGTGCATTAAAATTATTTAAGTGACTAATAAAATTAATATAAATTTATTTATTTTTATTTACAGAGCGACGCAGCCTTGCACTCCATAATATAGAACTCCTTCTGTCGAATGTGGAGGAGGCGCATAACAACGGCGTGCTGCTTGACGCTTATAAGATTGGTACTAAGGCCTTGCAGAAGGTTCTCAGTGATTCCGGCCTTAAGTACGACAATGTGGATGAAGTTCTTGCCGATGTGCGCGAAACATTGGATCAACATCGGGAAATTCAAGATGTTATGTCCAGTAGCACAGCAGAAGTAACGGCCAACCAAGATGAAGAAGAGTTGGAAGTAGAGCTCACCAACCTGATGGGTGGAACCGATCAGGAAATGAAACCATTAAGTCTATACAATAATAACAATAAAACTGAGATTGTAATTGAGGATGATCAGTTAATTGCCATGCTAAATGATCTGGAGGTGGAGGATGGTACCTTATCGCAGGTTAGCCAAAGAACAATGGAATCTATGTAAAGAAGGCTGCTTATGTGTTTTTTTAAATAAATGTCATATTTTTTAAATTGTTTTATATATTTGTCATAGTGTTAATGGCTTTATTCTATATCATTTTGTACAAAATGCGTCCTTAGGTCAAATATTTTTGCTTATAAGCTATGGCTAGACAAATGTTTCCCTAAACTGGAATTTAAAATTTAAATACATAAGTATAAGTATACACATGATTTGGTTTATCATACAGTTCAATCATTATTTCAGCATTTATAAGGTGCGCACAAATAAAACAAACTTTTACATACAGCCCCCATCTGTACACACTATGTATGTACATCTGCGCATGTATATTGCACTATATATATGCATATATATAGCTAGGCATATTTGAAGCATATCAGAAAAGCAAATTAAATGAATGCTTATGTGTCTGTTTGTCCTCTCCCTCTCTGGTCGGAGCTTCGATATATCAAAAGACAACGCCACGTGGATCGTTATGTGTGGATTTGGAACAGTATCAAAATACTCAAAATTGTACAGATGAAGCATATCAGGACGGGCAGAATCACTATAAACCGCAATGACCTGAAGAATATACAAAAACCAATGTTAAATACAAATTAAATTAAAATATTTGCATTACACACCTGCCATGTCCTAGGGCTGGGTGTCAGAGATTCAGATCAATGTCCGCCTCCAGGTCGATGTGGTTCATCGAGTTGGCTGTGCTATTGAAGATTTGATTCTCAGCCGTTGTTCCACTGCTCTCCCCACCACTGGGCGCGTTGGCGTTGGCGACGCCATTTCGCTTAGATTTACCTAGCAGCCAGCAAGAGAACACTTTGTCCAAATATTGCACGTTAATAATGTGATGATGGTTTGGACAGTGTGTTTAATGAGACCGATATATATATATATATTTATATATATAAATATATTTTCAGCATATATATAATCGGTGATGTTATAAATACAAACCAAGTACACTAAACTGAGTTGACATATGCCATAGCCTTTCCATGTATGTATCTCAATGGTAATAATTGAAAGAATGCTTACAATTAGTAGTACTTAGTAGTGGGATCTCCTAGTTGGATCATCGAATCTTGCATGCTGGTCTGGTTGGTGTATACATATGCATGTGTGAGTGAGTGGATGATGATGACACTTACCTCCAGAAAAGCACAGACAACCTTCGTCATCACTTTGGAAATCCCGCCCGGCGCTCTTTTGCTTGAGCTCTTTGTTCAGCTCATTGATGCAGCGCTGATAATAGTCGTAATCCTTTAGGTACCAAACTGGGGGCCATCGATGCTCGCGCAAGTACTCCTGATTATCCTGATGCAGTGCTTTCAAGCCCTTAAGTGAGAACTTACAAATAACATTGTAATTGACGCACAGATACGACATACACCACTCCGCCAGCTGATGGGCATTGTGCAACTATTGAAAATCAGAAGGTATTAATATGATATACCCCATTTAGTATAAGTGAATTAGCAACCTTGACTGATTCCAGTAATTTTAGGCAATGATCGACCGTTTCATTGGTCTCGTTTTGTGAAATAATTGTGAGATCTTCAATAACGCGACACTCAATTAGATTGATAAGGCGAGGCAGGCACAAACGGTTGGCCAATTCCAGCAAATTGAGGCATTTAACCGCTGATATGGGCGGAATTTGATCAGTGTACAAATAGCACAGCAGTTTATGGAATGTATAAATCGTGACGCCAGGAAAAACAATCTGCAATTAGAAAGCAGCATTAATTTCTGATATTGAATTATTATCAATCTGAAAGTCTTACCACATTAGAGTGCGCTTCACGAAAGTCACCGAGAAGCATGGCGCGCATGACATCACAGCGACCCACCAAAACAGCCCGATGGGCCTTAAATATAAATATATAATGAATTAATTATTTTTATTACAGTACTTATACCATTTGAGTTTACCTTCATCAACCCATCGTCCAGTTCAAAGGTGACATCAGTAAAGCAACCGTCTCCAATGCAATGCCTTTCCATGCTCTCCTTAATGCGCTACAATAAGAGCAAATAATAATAATAAACACACTAAGAATAATCAGTAAATATCAGCATACAAGACAAATGTGTGGATTAGGCTCATCACTGGGGCTCTCCATGACGCTTTGTGGCTTGGAAAGTAACATGGTCAATTGCGGCAGTTCTAATAAATCGGCAGCTTCTCTAATTTCCTGGAAAATGCAAATAGATTCTTATTAAATCTATAGTTTGCTTGCAAGACTTTGCTTCGGCTCACCTGCAGATTACTGCATTCCTTGTCAATGGTGCCTGTATAAATGAATCTTAGGCATTGGTGCAGGGCCTGGGGTGAGATTACTTTGCTTAGAGTTACAATTGTTTGAACAGAGCTGACGCCGCGCTGATTTTCCATTTGCACTTGGCGCAGGCTCAGCAGTACTGGATGGTGCAGTTCCTTATTTAAATCATTGGAGCGCTTGGACTCTACCAATGGTAAAGCCTGATAGCTGGAACGGCGCTTTAAATGTTCCCACATGCTAAAAATTGAAAACCAGTTAAAATATAATCGACGCGAAATTCGTGAGTAAAGCTAATTAGCTACCGTTGTGTGCGTGATTCGTAGCGTATAAGATATTCTGTGTCATCATTGAAGTCAGCTATTGTTGCCTCGCCGAACGTTGAACTGACCATGCTCGACTCGCTGCTGCTCCGGCCACCCATGTCTGTCAGTTCTGTGTTTAGAATGCGTTGGAAAATGCTAGACGCCGCGGCAAGCATAAATCTGTGCACAGCGAACTTGGTTCCGCCAACCACTAGGACAAGGTCGGCATAAGCTTGCGAAAGAAACATATTGTATATATCCTGGCGATAATGGCCAACCATGACCGTAACCTCTGGTGGTGGCGGCTTCGGTGGCCGGAATGGTGCCTGCAGCAACGGCTTCTGCACCTTTTTCAGGTTCGTCATCCAGAAACGTTGCTGCCGGCGAGCAATAAGCGAAGATCGAATGGCATTTTCGAACACCTCGTTGACGCCAAAGTACGTGAAGACGCTGGTCTCATAATAGCTAACACCCAGCTCCTTTGCAACAGCGCGCGCCTCATCTGGCATGACCAAATCACTTTTTAAGGCGGCTCTGAAGATAGAAAAAGAAGATACTTAGAGAGTATTTTGCCTAGCAAACATTGTCCACATACCGTACAAAGGTGCCCTTTTCACCAAAGTAGGACAAATAATTTTCATCGCGGTACATGTAACGCAGGTCATTTTTGCAGCCAACTAGCACGACGGGCACATCTGGACAGAAGCGACGTATCTCCGGATACCACATTACCTTGCAGTTACGCAAAGAAATGGGACTTGCAATGGAGAAGCAAAGCAGTACGACATCAGATCTAAAAATATGAATAATGTTTGAGTAAATATTTTGTAGAAGTAGCCTGAGAGATATTCACTTACCTGCCGTAGGCGAAGCGACGATCTTTGTCATGATCTCCGAAGGTGTCCCACAAACGTAAAGAGACATTGACACCATCTACCACTTCCCAGCTGCGTTCAAGCACCTATAAAATATAATTGATATCTATGTGTTATTAATGAGCAGCAATTGCGGCCGACAATTTGTCACTTGCGTCTTTGTAAATGCGATATTGATCGATCGCCCACACGGTTGGAACGTGCGTGGATAGCAGCTGCGAAAGCGAAACGTGCTTATTGCAAGCCCTGGCACAAATCAGGCGCGTCTTTCCCACGGCCGTGTCACCAACCAGGACACACTTGACCAGCTCCTGATGCGGTTGCTCGTTGTCCATTTTCGGCATGTACCTTTACAAGGTAACTCTCTGCAATATGGATGATAAGATAAATAATAATATCAAAGGCGATTCAATGTTATTATTTTATATATGTACATATGTATTTCTATATGTATACCCCTTACGCGACTTGATGCGTAGTGCGTCCAGACGACGCTCAGATAATGAAAGTAAAAGTAAGTTAAACGACAACAAACTCATTGATACAGCGGGAAGCGTTTTTAAAGTCTAATTGAACTCAATTGAAAGAGAAATAAAAATATCTTCAATCAAAGATCAAGCAAAAACCGCATTTACCATACCCTGTAAGCATTTAAATTCAAGTAAAACTATAAGTAACGTTAATTGTACCCGTTTAACCTATGGTTATACATATATCCACTTTTATAAATTATGTATATGTTTCATTTTGTATTTGCGTTGCTCAATACATATATCATTATGCATTTTAATTTACGTCTGCCAGGGTATTTGGCCATCGGCAACTCGAAAATAACTGCCTTTTTGTTTTCTTTTATCTTGAACGTTATGCTCGTTTACCGTTTCATTTTGGATGCACTCGAGACGCACAATGGCACGGGCCCTTTGTGTATAAATACATACTATACATTTATTTATAGATTTATGCAGAAAATTGAATGTATTTATGTGCATATATACAAATATGTAAACTTTAAATATAATATTCATATACAAATATAATCTCTTTATATATGTACTTAAGTTCTATTAAAGCAATGTAATCTACAAGAAAGAATGCCTAATATTAATAGCTAATTTCTGCAGAAGACATGACACATACATATATACAAACATACATACATATGTACCCAACAGACAACTAAAATATTCACTTTTTATTAAATCAATTTTTAATATACATATATTTTAAGAGTTATACATATACTGTCAATGTAGTTCTTATGCATTAATTAAAGCACGATATTAATGAGCTCCTTCGCAGGAGCCGACCGGCACCTAAAGACGCCCCATTGCTAAGTTTATTGATTTTCTCATTCCATATTAATGCAGTGCCGCCTACAGGCCAGGCTTAAATATAAATGAACTAAGAGAATAGAGCTGTTATGCATTAGATATATATACATATATGAATCAAAATGGATAAAATAATAACGGCAGTTTATAACTTAACATTCATTTTTTCAATAAGCTATTCACAATTCTCAAATGAACTGTTTTTCCCCCACAATTTTTGGCATTCACATACATGAGTATGATTTTACTGCGTATAGCTTTTCTGTTTTTATAATTTTAATACATATACAAATATCTGTTCATATAAATATATATGTACATATATGAAGTATATAAAATTGCAAAAATATATACCTTTTTAGTATCGTTTCGATTTGTGTTCTTCGTGGTATTCTCTCTTAGCTCTTTATTTGCGTGCTGCACTTATCATACACGCACACACACTAACACACGTCTAGACGAAATTTACAACAATTTGCAATTTATATTCGCACCAATACAAATATGCACATAAGACACAAACTGCGTACATTTGTTAACTCTGCAATTGCTGCTATCCGAATTGATTATATCCCAACATTTAACATCACATTCAAGCGTTCATGTGATTATTATTAATTGTTAAATAATAAAATGCAGTTACAACAACTGTTACAATAATCGTGCACCGCCGTCGATATACCTTTATCGATAACCGCAATTGCAACTGCCAGTGTTGAATATCTTGAAATTTAAGACTATGAACGGTTGCCAGACTTTGATTTTAAAGGACTAGATTGTTAGATTGAACAATTTTTGTAAAATCACAGGTGTGTAGATTTTATTGTTAATTTTAGGAATAAATCATT